CACTAGAATGACTACGTAGAGAAAGAGAGATGATTGCATGGTATGAGGGCGTGGAGAAGCGGCGTTCCTGCACTGCGGGTGGGAATGTGAAGGGTGTGTGCAGACTTGGCTTCTCTGCCTCAGGGCGTGTGCTCTCACCGACAGTGCGGGAGGTAGCGTGTCCCCCCCTGTAACTGCTGTGAATTCTTCACCACCTGTAATGTCTTCCAATCCTCAGGTCATTGCTTGGAGTATGCTACGATGTTGGATAAAGAAGCAAAACCGTACAAAGTGGATCCTTTTGTAATTATGATTAAGTTTCTGTTGGGGTAAGTTTTGTTACCTGTGGTAATGATTTTAATTTCGTATTGTGTATAAAGCATTATGTTTGTTTCCATTGATGGAATATACCTTTTCATACAAATGTGGCAATTGACTTGTTCTGGTAAGCGGGATTTTTCTCTTAGACAAAGGCCTGGTAAGTATATCAACATTTACTTTAGCCAAAACCGGTTTGGCTCAGTTGAATAGAGCGTCCGGCCTTCGGACTGAAGGGTCCCAGGTTCGATTTCCGGTCAAGGGCATGTACTTGGGTTGCGGGCACATCCCCAGTAGGAGATGTGCAGGAGGGCAGCTGATTGATGTTTCTCTCTCCCTTCCCTCTCTGTGAAAAATCAATAAAATATATTTAAAAAAACAACAACATTTACTTTAATAGTATAATCATTTCAAAAGTAAAGGCCTGTAAATACACCAGGCCTTTAACATTTGTGGAGGGATGAATATGATCTTTGAATAGCCCAGATCATGAGTAAATCATTGTAGGTTACGGATGAGATGGTGCCAGATTGCTTTATCTTACTTCCCATACAAAGTATATTGTAGATCTCTCTACCCTACCTAACATTCTGCTCTTAATTTATACAAATTTGTTTTTTGCTTAAGAACCATTGCTTAGATCTTTTTTCTTCTGTCATTCAAACTAGCTATTGGCTTTCTAACATTAAAACACACACACACACACCACTTATGATTTCACTAGAGGCCTGGTGCACGAATTCATGCACAGGTAGGGTCCGGCCTGTCCGGCCTGCCCGCCCTGATCAGGGCAATCGGGCCGGGCCGGCTCAGGGGAGGGGATGCGGTAGGTTGGCCAGCTGGCCCCGCCCCCTGGCCGAACTCCTGGTCCAGCTCCTGGTCCAGGGGATAATTTGCATATTAGCCTTTTATTATATAGGATTATAAGGAACAGTAGAGAGCAGTAACGCTGCACTGAGAATCATGGCTCAGATCCTCGGAGATCAGTAGACTCACTGGGAAGATAAATGACTTCACGTGTGTTTTTTAGTATAATTACAAATTCAGTATCATGGCAATGTGGGGACTCTAGTGAATGGTCACACACCGCCCACATTGGATCCTTGAATGTCAGGTGATGGTTTTCATTTTTTTGCTTTTACTTGTCTGTCCTCTTTTATCCACAGGTATAAGTGGTTTAAGGAAATATGGGATGTCTTACTCTTACCAGAGTTAGACGTCATCGTCTTGACCAGTCAGAGCATGTGTTTCCCCCTGGTCTCCTTGATTCTCTTTCTGTTTGGAACGTGCACTGCCTACTGGGGTGGCCTGCTCTCGTCCACCGCCGTGAGGCTCCTGTCCTCACTGTGGCTCGCCTTGAAGAGGTAAAGAATGAACGAGTGAACGCTTCCTCATTGCTCCTGATTAAGAAGAAAGCTGTATTCTGATGAGGAGCCTTAAGATGAGCGTGCTTTCATTAGACTGTACTTTCTCAGGAAGATGTTATAACTAGCAAAATGCGGATTCGTGTGGAAAGTGGTGTCATTGTCAAAGATAATTTTATCTTTGCAAGTTATTTGATGTTTATCTTACTGCTTGAGTTAATAAAAAACGTTAGGCAGATTGCACAAGTATTTTTAAATTTCACTGTTATAACTTGCTCTAAGGAGGAAGTGTTTCTGACAATGCATTTGCTATGCTCACTTCCGGTCAGACCTGAGGGCAAGAGACTCCATCACTAGACTTGGGCTCAGGTGAGATGAAGTGTGTACGAGCTCCAATAGCATTGCCTGTGGCTTTATTCTAGGCCCACAGACATCATTTGAAGTTACAGCTAGGCTTTCCTAATAAACCACTGACCTGGTTTCCTCCGCCACTCCTCTCACCACACATGTCACGTGACTCCCTGCCACTGAGGGCAGTGTGGGGTGATGCTTCTTCCTCCCCCATCACGTGTGTGAGTGACCTTGAGACTTTAAGAAATAGAAAGCTGTTTCTCCACCTCTCCAGATCCGACACGTCTGGCACAGGGCCTGTAATTATTGATTACCTTTAGCAACATTTTCCTCTTCCTTAGTACGAATGTCGGCCATACTGAATCTAAATGGAAGAGGAGCTGTCACGGTATATTACAAAATTTACGATCAAATATGTGTCACCCCTTGCCTGTATTAAGAAATAGCTTACACTGTTAACCTTATGGCACTTGCATGTTAAGCAGGAAAGCCTGGCGGAGTACGGTCCTGGCTTCTTGTGCATGATTGTGTAAATACCTGAGGAGTTTTTTCTTGTTTTCCCAGGCCCTCTGAGCTTCCTAAAGACATCAAGATGCTCTCACCAGACTTGCCCCTGTTGACGGTTGTTTTGATCATAATTAGTTGGGCGACTTGTGGAGCATTTGCCATACTTCTTACTTACCTTTACTATGTGTTTAAGGTATGTCAGATCCATAACGTCCAGGTGGCTGGGCTTGGTCTCAGGCAGGCGTAGACGTTCCTGTATGTGTTGTTAGCAAAAACTTTAATTGCCACTGCAGTAATTTTATGTTGTACAACAGGTTTAAGTGTAAAGGTTTTTAACATCTTGGTTACTTACAATATATAGTTAACTATAAAACTGAAATTATTCATCTGAGTTGAGTTAGTTAAAAAAATGGGGCGGGGTGGGAGGGGAAAAGATACGATCTGTTTCAAATTGCTTCCTGCTCTTGCAAGTAACGTTAACTTCTACAAAACATTTCACTAGAGCAATTTTTATTCACACCTCCCTCTGAACAGGGGTTATACACAAAACAAAACATTATGTCAGTAGGAGCGAGCTTTCAGTCATGCTGAAATCATGCATAATGTTACATATGTTGCTGAAGAATCAGAGGACAATGATAAAAATAATTTGCTGATAATTCTATCGGGGGAGCAAAAGACACTTTCAGGAAAGCGATAGCTTTGCCGGAAATTATACACTGCATACTCTCCACATCAGTCTTATGTAGAGATGGTTGACACCAGAATAGATATTTTTTTCTTTTTGTAAACAAAGGTTCATTTGCATCTGCTTTTAACACTAATACATGCAAATACATGCACATTATAAATTATTTTCATCAGAAAAAAAACTAGAACTATTCTGATTTATAAATATAATATTTTGAGTTTTTAATTGAATATTTTAAACAACTAACCCAGTAAGCAAAACTTTCTCAAATACTTAAGCATGGGAGAGGACAATGAGGGGAAAAGGGGACATATGTAATACTTTCAACAATAAAGAATTTTTAAAAATACTTAAGCAAATCTAGTAAATTAAACTTATAGACATTATCGGATTCTTATAAACATTTCACCACCAAATATAATTGAGTTCAGATTTTCAAAGATTTGGAATATATAAAACATGTTACACTTTATACTGTACTGAATATAATCAGATGTTTTATTCACAAGACACTTTAAGTTGCTTCAGTAAGGCATTTAAACAGAGGCCCCTGAATTTAAGAGGTGTAACAATATATCCTGGCCCCGGCATACTCTGGAAGTTTGTATTATTTTGTTTGTTTTTTAATCCATGGTAGCAAGCAAGTGTAGTTATTATTTATCTTTTCTAAAAGAATACTTTTAAATGTTTAAATGAATTTTTAATCTTTTAGATTTTTTTTTTAATTTTAGATTACAGTGCTTTTCAGTTTTGATATAAACAAAAAGTAAAATTAAATGATCATTTCTTTTTCCTAGATTGTTCATCTGCAAGCCAGTGTAACAAATTTTAAAAATAGCCAAACTGTGGTAAGTTTTATTTTCAAAACTCTACATCACTTTAATATGAAAGAACATGGGAAATTTTTAAAGTTTAGGTTGTTTTTTTAATATTGGGATTTCACACTGTTTAAATGGTCTTATAAATTTAAGTAATTTTATAAAAAGTGAACCTAATGGCCCAACTGGTATGGCTCAATGGTTGAGCATTGACCTATGAATCAGGAGGTCACGGTTCGATTCCCGGTCAGGGCACATGCCCAGGTTGCAGGCTCAATCCCCACTGGGGGACATGCAGAAGGCAGCCAATCAATGATTCTCTCGTATCATTGATGTTTCTCTCTCTCTCTCCGTCTCCCTTCCTCTCAGAATCAATAAAAATATTTTTTTTAAAAGTGAACCTAGTGAATATTAAAATAGACTTGGATTGTCTAAGTTTAATTTATCACTATTTATCATTTTTGTTATTACAAACTGTATTTTAAATTTTATTTTAAGTAATTACTTAGGAAATATATTCTCAACAGTGGAAACGGCAAAGCAAAGGAATAAAAGTTCCATAACTGATAACCTCTTTACAACGAGGTAATTCCAGTGTTTTATATCCATTTGGTGACAGACTGATGCATCTATTTATTTAGCTATTAAGTAGTTGAATAGGCTTCTACATAAAGTAAGCTTACATTTTACCGCACATCTTGCTGTTTTTCCCTGATTGCTTTACAGAATCCGAAACACTCGCGGAGGAGTGACAAGAGGTGCAGTCAGCACAAGGACGCAGCGGCCCACCCGCCTCGCCTGTCGGCCAGCGAGGCCGAGGACAGCCTGCGCATGCACACCACCGTGGCCACGCTGCTGGCCTGGGTGGTGCTGCTCTGCGTGCCCTCACTCATCTACTGGTTCAAGAACCTGCGGTATGTGCTGCTTACGAACCATAACGGAGGGGCTCAGGCATGAATGACCCTCAGGAGTGGAGGCTGTCGAGCCCCTGGAACTCATGTTCAGTACAGTCACATTTCCTCCTTTCCGTGAGAACATAAACTTTGGGGAAATAAACCTCCCCAAAACCTGTCCCCAAAAGAGAAAATGGTCTCCTTTAACCTTCTCTGATCTAGGCATGTGAAAATATGCTTTACTTTGTTGCTTTAAGGTATTCATAATGCTAGTACTCTATGTATTTTTCAATTCATGGTCAGTTTTATGTTTTCTTAAATTTGGGGGGAAGAAAAATCCTTCCATTTAAAAACATTTAGAAATAATGAAAGAAGTGTGTATTTTTCTAACATGGCCCAAACATTGAACTGAATTAATGATCAGCTATCTTACTAATGAAAACCATCATTTGCTTTGCTACCTTAAGTGTCCTAGGTCAGTAAGAATCTGAAATGTCCTCTAAAGTATTTCTAGAATATTTAGTTATTGATAAATTGTTTCAAAAAAATAGGCTACTGATCTAAGTAATAATTGAACCTCTATTCAATATAGTTTTCAGAAATTATATAAAACTTTTAGATTTATCTAAATACTGGAAATACTGTTTTTTAATTGATAGAACCAAAATAAGTGTGATAAATTAAATTACAGGTTACCAGATGTTAACCTCCTTCCTTTGTCCATCCTTTTAGTCAAAGATCAGATTTTTCTTCACATGTTTGGGGAGAGTTATTGAAGGAGCACAAATTTATGATTAGGAAAGGCTACAGATATTTCACTGTGAATAAATGCAAGAGATGAGAATTTGAATTTTAAAAAGATAAGGAACAGTTACTTTATATAAACCTTTATTTCATCTTTTTAATAGAGCAGCCTTAATAAATTTTCAGTAATTTGTTTTATAAAATTTTTATTTATTTTTTTCTTTGAATTTTTTAAAATTTCTTTTTAATTTTTTTAAATTAAATCTTTATTGTTCAGATTATCACAGTTGTTCCTCTTTTTTCCCCCCATAGCTCCCCTCCACCCGGTTCCCACCCCACCCTCCGCCCTCACTGCCCCCACTGTCCTCATCCATAGGTGTACGATTTTTGTCCAATCTCTTCCCACATCCCCCACACCCCTTTCCCCCCCGAGAATAGTCAATCCATTCCCTTTCTATGCCCCTGATTCTATTATATTCACCAGTTTATTCTGTACATCAGATTATTTATTCACTTGATTTTTAGATTCACTTGTTGATAGATGTGTATTTGTTGTTCATAATTTGTATCTTTACCTTTTTCTTCTTCTTCCTCTTCTTAAAGGATACCTTTCAGCATTTCATATAATACTGGTTTGGTGGTGATGAACTCCTTTAGCTTTTCCTTATCTGTGAAGCTCTTTATCTGACCTTCAATTCTGAATGATAGCTTTGCTGGATAAAGTAATCTTGGTTGTAGGTTCTTGCTATTCATCACTTCGAATATTTCTTGCCACTCCCTTCTGGCCTGGAAAGTTTCTGTTGAGAAATCAGCTGACAGTCGTATGGGTACTCCCTTGTAGGTAACTGACTGTTTTTCTCTTGCTGCTTTTAAGATTCTCTCTTTGTCTTTTGCTCTTGGCATTTTAATTATGATGTGTCTTGGTGTGGTCCTCTTTGGATTCCTTTCGTTTGGGGTTCTTTGCGCTTCCTGGACTTGTAAGTCCATTTCTTTCACCAGGTAGGGGAAGTTTTCTGTCATTATTTCTTCAAATATTTCTTCAAATAGGTTTTCAATATCTTGCTCTCTCTCTTCTTCTGGCACCCCCATAATTCGGATGTTGGTACGCTTGAAGCTGTCCCAGAGGCTCCTTACACTATCTACATATTTTTGGATTCTTTTTTCTTTTTGTTTTTCCAGTTGGGTGTTTTTTGCTTCTTTGTATTTCAAATCTTTGACTTGATTCTTACGATCCTCTAGTCTGCTGTTGGAACTCTGTATAATATTCTTTATTTCAGTCAGTGTATGCTTAATTTCTAATTGATCCTTTTTCATATCCTCGAGGGTCTCACTAGATTTATTGAAGGTCTCACTAAATTTATCGGCGGTTTCTAGAAAATTCTTGAAAAACCTTACAAGTGTGATTTTGAACTCTATATCCAGTAGTTTGCTTTCCTCCGTTTCTGTCATTTGTGACCTGTTTCTTTGTCTCCGCATTTTTTATGCTTCCCTGTGTTGATAGAGTAGCTTTCTGTGCTATGTGTCCTATAGGGCCCAGTGCCTCAGCCTCCCCAATTACCTGAGGTGGACACTCTTGGTGCACCCCTTTGTAGGCTTTGTGCACAGTCTTGTTGTAGTTAAGCCTTGATTGTTGTAGGTGTCACTGGGAGGAATTGGACTCCAGGCCAACTGGCTGTGAGAATCAGCTGTGTCTGCAGTGGGAGAACTTCTGTGCTGGAGACACCCTTCTGGGGCAAGACTTGCTTTGGTGCTCACTGAGTCTGCCCCCTGAGTGTGTCCCTTATGGATCTGAGGAGTTGTAATCTGGATGGTCCCACTCTGACCACTGGGTACACTGGCTCTTGGATCTCTATGGAGGTGCTAATTTAGCCTCTGCCTGAGGCTACCCAGCAGGAGCTATGGAGAGATCTGCAGATTCCTCTTCTTTGTTTGGGGTTTGGAGGTGCCCAGATGAGGCCCAGCTGTGAAGTAATGCAAGCTGCTGTGGGGCCTTGGGCCTTCTTTTGGAAGTTCTGGGTCTCTCTGACCCAGCTGCAGTTTGTTAGGTAATTTTCAGATTGCAAAGGGCCAGGGCATTCATATGCAGAAGCCTCTGTGCACAGCTTGGGTAGGGTCTCAGGGGATCAACAGGGCGGAGCAAGCAGCTATGGCTGATCTCAGCCTGCCCTAAGAGGCCCCGGGTCTCAGTGTTCCTCGGTAATCGCTGCAAGCACCTCTGAGAGAAAGCCGCCCTTGAGTTCTGACCAATGCCAGACA